CTAGCGGGTCCTCTCAGAAAACCCCCACATATTTTAAAATTCAGCGACATTGTTAGGGCCGTTTCCGAGAGCATGCTTTTACAATCAATCAGCGCCATCTTCCGGGCTGATTTGTGAATCTAAACCATCTAGGGCGCCACTGAAACGCATGTACAGAAAAAATCATTTAAATCGGTCAAGCCGTTTAGGAGGACTTCAATGACATACACATACACACGTACCTATAGCAGAATTATATAAAAGTAAGTCATACGACATCCACCGCCGAAGATAGACCTTCTTCAATGTCTTTAAATAAAAAAACAACAAAGTACGGCGCGTAGCATTCCGCGCGCGCCTCAAAGAACCAATAGACCACCGCTGACGGGGCCCTATAGGGCTGATGTTCGACGGGGTTGCGGGGTAAGCGCTATGAGGCACCGCGACCAGAGCAGGAGACGGAACAGGGGGGTTTTTAGTCAGTAAGAGTATGACACTCTCTCGCCTTACCCTGGGCGGGAGAAGTCATTAGATGATTTTCCGCTGACAAAAAAAGCAGCATAGGTATATTATGCAAGAAACACGGAAGAATTCATCACTTTACTAAAACGGTATCCAATTACATTGTTTAAACAATAGGTAGGTAAGTATCGACCTACATACCGGCCTAATGGGGAACTGTTCTACCGTCAGTTCTTAAAACCTGACACCTCGTTTATCCACGCAATGAGAATCATTTCCTTTGAAATACCTTAGTATTGAACATCGTGAATACAGATTACAGAACGCCGTTTTATTATAATTCTGTAACTTTTTAGAAGTTGTTATCGTTGTAAAGAAGTCGCTTTGGCATGTTCGTTAAGCGTGAGAAGCTTGAAGGCGTTCTGTGTGTTGGTTCCTAGGTTTTCTAGTAACTGTTCAGTATCTAGGCAAGTAGTATTTGTTGTCTGTTGGTTGTCAGGTAGCTTAGCATACGGCAAGTAAAGTTTGTTTACTGATTTGAAAGTTTTTGAAACGATGACTATCTATGTATTAGATTTGAAAATTTCAATCGTGGTAATTCTAGACACAACAGAAGAATAATAGGTCCATGAACGCCGGCGTTCGCTTAAGGACGTGTTGGAACGTCAACGAAAGCCTTTTTCAATTATTTTCTTTGAATTTAAATATAACATCTACAACACATATGTTTCTAACCAGTTCTCATAAAAATACTGTTATTTTTGTACCCCTAATTTCTCTATCAACAACCCTTTCCTACAATTTCGCACAAACAACCTTGTTTAACGTTCGCAGCAATTAATTTATTTGTCAAGTTATTCAAACATTATTTGTGTTGAAAGATTTAGAATTTGACTTCTGAGTGAAGAAATCTATAAGCTCAATGCCTAATTTCCTTGTAGGTATACGAAAAACTAATTACGAATTACCAATACCGTATTATTTTTCTTATACAGCTGATTGGATATTTATTTTTATAACTAGTGGCCCGCCCCCACTTCGCACGGGTGCCATGCTATAATATAAACCTTCCTATCACTCTATCTATTGTAAAAAAACTGCATCAAAATCTGTTGCGTAGTTTTAAAGAATTAAGCATACATAGGGAGAGAGAAAGCGACTTTGTTTTATACCATGTAGGGTTAGCATTTAATGTAAATAAGATTAGAGTTGAATTTCTAAGAACAGCAGTTGACCTAGTTGAATGTAATTAGAGTTGTTATTGGATAAATTAGGAAAGGAATAGTTTGTACATATTTCTTAGAAAGAAAATTAGATCTTAGATAAACTGGCCTAAGATAATACTAGCCAGTCAAGATACTTAAAACTAGTTTAACAAGCATTCATGAGTTGTAATTAATATACGATTCTAAGTGGTACAATTTATATTTGATTGACAGCAGCGCTAAACGTTGGATTAGAATACCTGAGTACCTATAGTTTGATACTTCGAACAGTGATAGAGAGATAACTGTATAATTTTTTTAATTTTTAAAGGGGTACTATCGTCGAAATGAATTATTATCGTCGAAAAAATTCTATCGGGTAAGGCAATAGGGGGTGTCTTTTGCTAAACAAAAACCGCCCTCTTCCTTCTTGAAAATACCCAGATCTCTCTCTTCGGAAAATTTGAGATTTTGGCAAAGAACATAAAAAAACTTAATGTTATCTTTTAAAAACTGTGTCGGTTTTGTCTGTTAAAAACGACAAGCACGTTGCTCGTGAATAAGAGTCCCGTTGTGACTTAAAACTAGTAGAGTTTTTTTCAATTCATTTCGTGAGTAACTCATTATTTTTCAATAAATTTAGTAGATATGTCTCACGATAGTTAGGTAGGTACTATTAAAAATAGCGAATTCTTTCTATTTATTTCACCAGTAGGTAAGTAATAAATACTGCTATAGTCTTCACCAATTTGCCACAAAAGTTTTATCCAATAACAAACCGTTTGCTATAAAGTTATATCGAGTTACCAACTAATCTCTACCAATTTCCTTTCTGTTCATACGGCGCACCCTTTTTAGTAATAGTTTTACTATTGATAGTCTTACGTTCAAACGGCGCCATTTTTATTTTTCGCCACCAAAGAGGCTAATTGGTTTGTTCAATTCAACTTGGCAAGAAAATTTTCTTAATAATAAACTTTAGCGAAAATTTATTTTCAATATTTTACGACAGTGACATGGAGTACTTATTGATTAGAAAAAGTTGTGTTTAAATCACTGATTTTGTTCTGTTTTGTTTTGTTTGTATTTTTGTGAAAGAAATCGAAGCTTGGTTGTACTATTTTTTCCTTTTGGACCTTTAAGATATGTTAAGGAAGTAACAGAACTTTTACAATGTATTTATTTTTGCAACCATTTATGGAGGGATTTTCAACGGTTATCTTGGTAACGGTATAATTTATCTTCGTAGACAAGTTTCATCTCTTACCAAAACGTCACGTATATGTCACTAATGTCAACTGTCAATCATAATGGCGGGAAAATAACACACTTAAACATTTGGAGTAACAGTTACATTAGGTATTGTAAGGCGGATTCATGACGGAACATTATTAAATGAAATAAAGTCATTAATTAATAGCACTATACATTTTCAAGGTGGTAAGTATCCTATTTTATAAGTTTTAATTTAAATGGTACAAGGAGTTAGTCCGAGTTTGTCAATGGAGATGGTAAAGTATAATTTTCATTATCTTTTCTTGCTGGTTACATCGAGTGATTCTTGCTTCTAAACATAAGGTAAGTAACTTATGAAATTATTATTTCTTTAGTACTATTCTTACTAATATGAATCGTGGCTCCAGAGTTGCAGCGGGAATGGTGAAGGAATGATACATTAATAAATTATAAAAAAATATATTAAAGCTATACGTACGTACTATATGATACTAACGTAGATTTTAAGTAAAAATTGTTACCAACCCATTAAGTCTTGATACTTTAATTTTTTATTTTTTATAACCCATTGAGTCTTGATACTTTAATTTTTTATTTTGCGTCTTTGTCGTAAGTGTTTGTAAAAACTAGATATGTTATTGACTTCGAAACTGATAATGGTTAAGTAAGGGATGTTCGTATTAGAATTCCGATGTGGGCAAACTATTATTGGGCATTCAAATTAGAAATTCTCAGTTAATACGGAGATTGGAATTTGGAATCGGGGTTATGTATGACAAACGGTTTATCACCGAATTACAAACGAAGCGTGCGAAGAGTTCTCCACCAAAATCACGCTTGTTGGACTGTAGGTATTTGTGGTTTTGGCGCTAAGAGAAATACATTGAGGTTACCTGAGGCCTAAACCTTCCTTTCCTCCAATCTCTCCCCAAACCCTATATCTCCCAAACCGTAATCCCCAAACGGTTTGCCACGCACTCGTTTTAGTCAGTAAGAGTCTAACACTCCCTCTCGCCTCACCCTGGGCGAGAGAAGTGATTTGATGATTTTCCCCTACCAAAAATCCCTAAAAAATGGTTAAAAGAGGATATCGCGTGCTAAATGTGGGAGAGCCATGCTTCGACACGAATGGGTCGGCTCGACCGGAGCGATACTACGGCCTCACAGAAAACCGGCGTGAAGCAACCACAGAGTTGTGATTCGCCGTGTGAGTGAGGTTACCGGAGGCCCAATCCTTCCCTTTGCCCAATCCCTCCCTAGTCCCTAAATCTCCAAATCCCCAATCCCTAAAAGGTCTGCTACGCACTCGTAACTTCTCCCTTGCGGGTGTCCATGGGCGGCGCTGATTGCTTACTATCAGGTAATCCGCATGCTCGTTTGCCGACCTATTTTCTTTCTACCTACTTTTTAAGACAATAACCATGTAAATTTAGGTTTATTTTAGTAATATATTCAATATAATATACAACTAATACGACCTAGCTTACTTACTAGACTGGACCCTACCTACGCATATTCAAAACATAATATTCATGTTACCTACTTACATGGGTATTATGTTTTTAGGTCTGTTTTTTAAACATTAACTGGTCTAGAATCTAGATAAAAAATTACAGCCAAAATTTTGAAAACCACGTGTAATTTTAGTTAAAAAAACGAAAACGTTTGTTGCCTACCACGATTCGTTTTGTAACGTTTCTTTTATGTATAACAACGGAAAAATCTTGGAACTGATAAAAAAATTTGGTCGCTTAAATTTTCCATTTTATCTAGGTATGTGTTTTTCTAGTATTTCCAAGTGGTAGTAAAAGTGGAATTTGTTTTTATGATTTTATTAATCAATCTTTGCATAGTCAGATAACGAGCAGACATAATATAAATATTGAAGTTATCTACATCATAATATTATCACAAGACACATTTCTAATATCTTGTTGAAGCACATAAGAAGAAAAACAAATCTTCCCACATGACTCTTTTTAATTGAAGTGTAAAGGAACCATGTTTCGGTATCAAGAGAGTGATATCATGGCGTCACTGAAAATCAACGTGCTACAATGTTTGCGTTGGGTTTCGCTTTATGAGTAAGGTTACCTCACGGCAAATCCTTCCCCCCATATGTACCTAATTCCCAAAGACCCCAATCAAAACCGATGTAAGTTTATAAGAACCGTACGGATTCCCGCTCAACTCTGCGTGATCTGGGTGTGATGTGTATGTGAAATTGTATGGTTGTAATCGCACCCACAACATAGAAGAAAGCCCTATTGCGATCGCCTGCAACTGATCGTTTACACGGGGCTTGCGGCTTTAGTCACTTGCAACTTAGCCGAATTGCCATTTAGATGGTCGATTTACGCCGCGCGGCAAAAATCGTGCGGCTTTAGTCACCCGTGTAAACCCCCCATTACGTTACCTAATAAAACAAATACTTCATCTTGACTCAAGCCTGGTAACGAACCCGATCTCTTAACTCGACAATCGTATTTACTACCACTCAACAAACAAAACTAATCACTATGTAACTTTGACAAAACAAAATACTCCAGTTCCATTCCATCTTCTCAAGTCTGCATATCTTCAACAGATGTCCCGATAACGTGGTTGTCGTCACCGCGCGCGTCGGTACCGTGCGTGGTGCCGGACGCAGCCCGGATCCCGGCGAGGCGGCCCCCACCCCCACTCGAGGCTGATGATAGGCCCCGACCGAAGCCCTATGTTTGGAAGAAGGGCGATGAAGATGTTAAACGGTGAGCTGAAAATTCTTTATATTATTACTATTGTAACGTAACGTATGGTCAACTTAAATTCATATTTAATAGCCACACTAGTGTGATGCCGTCTTTCTTATTTGGCCCTCTCAACAAACTACATGTACCTATAAATATCACAAGATTTCTCTGTTTAAAATATTAAAACTGATACCACGGCTGGCCTCACAGAAAATCGGCGTAGTACGTTTTGTTTCGCCGTGTGATTGAAGTTACCGAAGATACAATCCCTAATAACTTAAAAAAGGCGTGCAACACACTTGTCCAACGCCCTTGGTATTTGCTACGAGTGTCCATGGGTGGCGCTGATTGCTTACCATCAGGTCCAATCCGTCTGCTCGTTTGCCGAACTATGAGATAGAAAAATAATTTAATTTTGACACATATTGTACGGTTAATAATATCATAGGCGGATGGGTCGTTTGTGACTTATTTTAAAAGGACCGTCTTTTTTAAAACCGTTATTTTGTTTCAGGGTACTAAATAATGGTACTCTCGAGGTATCGAAGAAGAAGGACGGGAGCTCCGAGGGAGTGTACCAGTGCACAGTCAGGCATCATGCTGGACTGGTGCTCGGGTACCCCGTCCACATCAAGTTTGCTTGTGAGTATTTCTTTATATTGTAACACTCGCTTCAACTCGCGGCAAATGTAATGTATCCGGGATTTTAAAATAGCAGGGACATTGTAGCTAACTATCAGTGAAAGACCTTTGGAAATCCGACCAGCGGTTCAAAAGATTACCCCCTAACATAAAAACTTAGAAACTTTACCTCTTTATAATATTAGTAAAGATATCAGTGTTTAATACAAGTTAGTTTTACTTTAGCACAATCGACACATCTATGAGGTTCAGTGCTCTGATTGGCCAGCTCCAAGTTGACCAACCAATCAGAATTAACACTGTAACTTTTTATTGGTGGTAATGTATACACTCAATAAAAAATTTGCTTTAAGCCGTGTCGACTTTGCACGGAGTCAATGCTGATACTAAACTCCACTATTTCATGGATGTTTTGTATATATAAACGTTCCCCTTTTATTCACATTAGCTAAAAAAAAAACCGCATCATAATCCCTTACGTAGTTTTAAATATTTAAGCATACACAGGGGTCAGAGAAAGCGACTTTGTTGTACCTGATTGTATTGGCAATTGTTTTCTATAAATTATAAGTTATTCTTAAATTTTCTCACGTGACTATTTGGTGAGATAACTCGTTAAGTTTCAAGCCGCTGTGGGGCTCGTATTTCACACGTCGCGGCGACCGTCGAGCGGCCTACAGTTACCTAAGTAAGACGTTAAACATAAGAATAACACGTTATAAATAATAGACATTGAATACAAAAATAACCGATTAAAAAATAATGAGAGAGAGAGTGGCCCAAACCTCTCTCAGGATTCTAAGTTGTACGCTCAAATCCTCTTACCCCGTAAATCCCTTACAACCATAGAGAAAAAAACCCGGTTAATTTCTCTATGCTGACAACCCACAAGAGGTCGGCAACGGACTTGTAGTAACACCTTTAGTATTGCAAGTGTCCATGGGCAGCGCTGATTACTTAACATCAGGTAATCCGTCTGTGTGTTTGCCGACATATGCCATAAAACATGGTTATCTTTGAAAAGCTTTATTATAAAGTTTACTTCTATTGCCCTTCTAGATATGTTCCATTAAATTTAAACACCATCTACTCAATGTTCTTGTTTGTACTCAATGTTTGACTACACGGTTGGCGCGGTGGCTGGGCAACTGGCTGCCGCGCAACGTGTCGCGGGTTCGACTCCCGCACGGAACAACTCTTTGTGTGATCCACAGATTGTTGTTCCGGGTCTGGGTGTGATGTGTATGTGATATTGTATGTTTGTAAACGCACCCACGACTCAGGGGAAAATCCTAATGTGGGGCAACGTTTATTTAAAAAAAATGTTCTATGATTAAAACGTCAAAAAACAACGTATTTGTGGCTAATTCTAGTGTTTGTTTACAGAATACCTAAAGTCCTATCCCAACAATTGGGTCTATTACACTTTAAGTACTTTATGTACTTAGTAAATAAACATGAAATTACTGAAAAAACAACGCGCTGAGGCTTCGGTACCTTTCAGAAGGCTCTCAGTGCTTATTACTTATGTACAAATATTTACTTTGCACACATGGACGGTCAATTGTTTTATTTACTTTTTTAATTATATAAAGGTTTTGTATAGATACTAAGTTTTAAAAGTGGCTTTGCCTATGCTAAAGGTCTTTTTTTAGAACTCCCATTCGATGATGATGATCACCATCATCATCAGCCTCAAAAGTGTCTTAGAATGATTTTCTGAGAAGTAATCTTCACCCTGATGAGGAGAATGGCTCAGCATTTATCACTATGGTCATAAAAGGAGGGTTGGCTATTACAAACTTTAAATTTGAAATTATATTAAGTTCAGATTTCCTCACGATGTTTTCCTTCAATTTATGTCTGTTGCGTTGAAATAATTTAAGAAATTACTCGCATATAGAAACTGTTATTATATTACACCGATAAATAATAGGAATAATTAAAAAAAAAAGTTTAAGATAGTCTATAAAAGTGTCAATTTTTTTTTATATTACTGTGTATGTTGGTAATTTACACAGCCCGACTCGATCTTTTATACATATATTTTTTTTATCAGATTCATTCAAAGAACTCATTGTCACTCCAGAAATAATACAGAATATTTATTTTTAGCAAATTATTAGGTTTCTTTCTGTTTCATTTTGTGATTGTATTGTTGGGGAAATTATCATTATTACGTTTATAATTTCGCTCTTAAATATATGGTCTTCTTTATTTATACTAAGCAATTACTTTGATATTATATTCGCTTCTATTTTTTTTTGATTTGATTCGTTCTTAGTAATGTTTAAGTTAATTGTAATGTCAGAACGATAGTCATGATGAAAATTACTATATTTTATACAAATAAAATTAATATTTTATTTTATAATAATACTTTTAATTGCAAACCTTGCGGCCTGATCTGTCTCTTCATTACTACATCTGCTACAGGCATCAAGAGTATTGAGACTCATGTCTAGACCTTATCGAACCTAATCCTAATACCACCAATAACCGACCTAAGTTTGGGAAAGACACGAATGGGCCTGCTCAATAGGAGTGAGAACGCTTCCGTACATTGCAAACGGCACAACAACCATGGGGTAAGCGCATTGTGGCACCGCAGCCTCGGCCTCAGATAGGAGAAGGGGCGGGTGTGTTTAGTCAGTAAGAGTTTGACACTCTCTTTCGCCTTACCCTGGGAGAAGTCGTTTGATGATTTTACCCTAACAAAAAAACCCTCCTCCATCGCCAACCCCTACATCTAATCCTGAAATTCCTATCCTTAAAAGGCCAGCGAAATGAATGTCGCTTCTCTGGTGTTACGGGTGCCGATAAGGTTTCTTGCCCAAAAGTGACACATACATTCATTTGCGATTACTGTACTGTCTAAATGGTTACCTACTTACTGGCCGGTATTGGAGGACAATTATTTTTAGTCTGATTTTTTCTAGTCTTTAAATTGCAATAATAATAAAGCTGATTATTTCTTAATGATGTAGTAGTTTTTTATTTTTATTAAATAGCCTAATAGTACTTTTTAATATATGTATAAGGCGTTACTGAACATAGACATCATAGAGGCTAGATATTTTAATTTTTTGTGGATAAACCTTTAGGTGACGGTACTGTAGGACTCTCTCTACTCTTTTGCCATCATCAGATATATCATTGTTCAAAAATTGGTTTCAAGTAAGATCCAGAAATCCTGACTCTGTAATAACAACTGAACTATAATAATTTAGTTTTAATATTTACAAATCTCAGTTTCCAAGCCACACCTCTATCCTTTATTATTAAGTTTATTAAGTTATCCACAGCCGAACGGTTTTCGACTTCATAAATAATCTGTCAGGGTTCATTATTGTTTGTAGACTGTATTTTGACTAGTTGACGCCAACTTAGTTATTTATTTAGGGTCAGCAGATATGTTAGTTGTTTATTTGAAGTGACAGTTCTAGTACTGTTGCTTTGGATAGTTTCAGATATATATTTGTTTCTCGTTAATTATGTTTAGCAGTTTCTGTGGAGGAGTGTCTTATTGTGTTGTTGGGTAACCTTTCTTAAGATATTGTTTAAAATTTTAATAATAATATAGAAATTAGGTAACTGATCTTTATCATAATCATCAGAAACAGATAGATAATGTACATACAGGAGAAATTTCGGTCTCAATCTGTTCTTAATATCATAAAGCTGTTGATTAAGATTGTTTGAACGTGCTAATCTCCGAAACTATATACTGGTTTGAATTGAACAATTCTTTTTTTTTTGGTTAGTCTATTAGTTGAGAAAGACTTTATGCCATAAAGCATCTAGATGTACGATGTTTAGGAACCGAGCGATGGTTGAGTTAGTGAATAATATTTTACTATGTACCCCATTGGCAGACATTCGTGACGATACATGTAAATGTGTATTTGAAATGTTGTCTAGTCGATAACAATAAGACCCCTGTTTTATATAAGGCTTAATATATATAACGAACAGTTAAGCTTTCACTAAAAGTAAACAAAATAATCTTATGTTCAGTAATTATAGCTTTTACCTCTTAAAAAATAAAATAAGGATTGTAAGTAGCACCCTTTTGGCTAGGCCTTATAGGGTTTAATTCTCGAGACAACTAAAAGATGTCGCTCTACGCGAAGGGCTGATTTAATCTTTGCGTTTTATTAAACCTTGTAATCGCAGATTTTGAATATACCACTTTAAACGGCTTTTGTTTTTTGGTTTATTAGTGTCAATTAAAGAATATTTAATAATGTTGTATAGAATATCGATAGGTATCATTATCATCCAGCCTGTAAGTTCTTACTAATAAGCAAGGCATCTTCTAACACGCAGAAGGTTTGAGCATTAATAACTACGCTTGCTCAAGGTAGGTTGGCGATTTCAGAGTTATGATTAGAAATTATAAGTCTAGGTTTCATAACGATGTTTTCCTTCAGCGAATGTCAGTGGTGTCTACATTATCATAGGAAGTATGTACAAGCATCACTCCGAAAATGTTACATTGATACTTGTCAGGTTTCGAACCCTCATGCATGAGTAGATTGCCTTAATATCCGGGCTACCACGACACTTTTCATATAATTATATATCTATAGGTACCTATAAATTATTGATTACCAAAGAATTATTTTTATGTGTAAGCAAAAAATAGGTTCATAAATATTATACACTAGGTAGGTGACTGCCTGCAGAATTTGGTTTAAAAACTATCCTATGTCATTTCTCGACTTCCAACCTATGTTTGTACTTACCAAATTTCACACAAATAGGTTCAGTAGTTTAGGCGTAAAGAAAATACTGGCACAAGGCAGATAGAGTTACTTTTGCATTTATAATATTAGTTTGTAAGTTTGGATTAAAAAAAGAAACACATACATAGAAGAAACAAAAGATATCTCCACCTTATCAAAAAAAAAAAACATTTAAAACTATCTATTAAATTACTTATAGAAGAAAATTAGCACATTGATATTCCGTGTATGATTGCACATACCTAATATAATAAATATCATTATAAAATATTTACATAGTAAAAAGCCGACACGTGTAAATAATAATACCATTAATTATGTAATAATGTAAAAACTCACGAAAGTTAATAAACAATCCTTATTTATATTTACAAAGTAAATACTTATTATGTTTTTACTTGAGTTTTATATAATTAGAAATGGTCGTGTGAAGGTTATTTTGATGTTGGCTTTAAGATTGTTATCACAGAGACTTATCATGGTCTCTGTTTACACTTTTATGTATCTTTCACCCGTATATACCATTATCATCATCATCAGCCGAAAGACGTCCACTGTTGGACAAAGGCTCTCTTAGTACTCCACGTCGAATGACCAATCGCCACTCGCAGCTATTGGGAGCCAATAGCTGCGCGATTCTGACGACGTCGATCGCTGTGGCCTGCCCATTGCCACTTCAACTTCAAACACATTCAAAGAGCTGTGGCTATGTCGATGGAAATCTGGAAATTCGCCAAAGAAACATTCTGGTTCTTTAAAACTAAGAGACTAAATAATAAGGTACAGAGACCAGACAACAGTGCTCTATAATAAACCTGCACATTTAAAAGTATGAGAGAGACGGACCTCTGAGTTTGTTTCGGCATTTCTTCATAGAGTAGTCTGATAGGAAATGCAGGCTTCATCTAGTATTTTTACATATGATTTTTGTAAAAGTGCTGTTTTATGACCTATTTACAAAAATAAATTCATTGTTTCATTGTTTATGATCTCCACCCTGTCTAAGAGTGGACTGCCAATGACAACCCTTATGTGGTGGAGAGGTCTACATTCTAACAGTGGGCTGTCTGTATCCATCTTGGTTCATCATCACTATCGACTTATAGGTGTCCTGCGCAAAGACCTCTTCTTACACGAAAAAGACTAAGAATTCTATGACGAAAAACAACAAATGAAATAATACAATTAAACACTACCTACTCCTTCAGATTACAAGGTACATACATTACAATAAACAAAATAAATCCCTAAGGTACTAGGTACTGTCGGCCAGTCCTTTCTCGACAGGGCACGCCCATTATTGTTCTGACTTATAACCTAGTTTCAGACTAGAATTTATTACAGTCTAGCTAACATCTGTCTCTGTTTAAGACCGACCATGTTATGAACTATTTCCGTATACTATGACTTGTATGTATCATAAATAGTGTGTACTTTCTAGTGCTTCTTAGCACTTGAATAGTTGGGAACTAGGTGTTGAAATAATTTATTCACTTTGATTCCCACACGTAAAAAGTCTTTGTGTTATCCAAAAATTGTTTATGAGTGTAAACGCATCCAAAAAACAGGAAAAAATCCTGAATGAATAAGGTGTTTTAAAACTATTTAATCGATTAATGTTAGAGCGATCAGTTTTCATATTATTTTTACCTTTCAAGTCAAAGATCATGAAAACTATCGATCCATACTTTATTTTAAGTCTCTTGTTATTGGCTAAGCTTATTGTCGTTTTTATACAACTTGGTATCACTATACCTTACAAAACAAATGACAAACAATCCTTTTCTTGCACACCTGTTTGATTTCATTTACATTTATTACAACTGAATGTCAGCAGTACCTACTATTCCTCGCCTCTTTCGGGAATTAAGGAAGTTGTGTTTGCAATTATTCTAACAACGAATAAATCTATAGTTCTGTGTGCGATGACGTCACCTCGACGCGCACGCTGCTCATGAATAAGAGTCCCGTTATGACTTGAAACTAGTTGAGCTTTTCTCAGTCAATTCGTTTTCAATAAATTTTGTCTACCTATGATTCATGTGCATCATAAATTGTTGGTAGTTTGTAATAGCCTAAGACTGTTACCATGTTGAGACGTAGGTATTGTTGAGTAATCTTGTAATAGGTTTCTAATCAATTTATAGGCATTGTTTAGCGACTATTTTGGCCCTAATTGCCTTGGAGTCGAGTTGAAGTTTATTAAATTATTGATAGATGTCGTTATACGCTATAAGGAGTGTTAATGGATTCAAAGTATTGAAGTTTCGTGGACAGTTTGGAGTTGTGGTTATTATAAATGTGATTATAATTTGCAAATAGGAATTTTCTTCTGTACTTTAATTACCTTAAGTTTAATTATTAGTTTAGGACCTTCTTTCGTTAAAAAAGGATGTTTCTTTTTGTCAAAGGTCTACTTAAATTGGCAACAAATGGACAGCTTTTAAACGTTACAGATACACATTCAATAAATATACGAATACTTCAATTTTCTTCAAAAAATACTTAAACAACGGAATACATAGCACCAATCTGCCTAAGCACCTTAACTGTAAAATCTTAGAAATTATGTAAATGGTTTTACAAATAAAGAAAAGCACACACTCTTCACACGCATAGGAATACTAATTAATTTGTGGATCATAAAGAGTTGAACCGTGGGTAAACCAAACCATCGACACGCTGTGCTCAGTTGCCTAGCTACAGCACAAACCGTTTTTTTTTTGTGAGGGGAGTATCACCAAATGACTTCTCCCGCCCTGGGCCGGGCGGGAGGGAGTGTCAGACTCTGACTAAAAACCCCCCTGTTCCTTCTCCTGCTCTGGGCCGTGGTCGCGGTGCCTCATTGCGCCTACCCCGCAACCCCGGCTGACAGCACAAACCGTGCGGTCAAATTTGTTACTAAGAAAAACAAAATTACAATTTGATCTTTCTGAGAATCAAATACTAATAATATCTACTATTTTTATTCTTACAAATCCTTGACATGACATGAAAATCTTTGACTTTACAGAATTAAGTTAGTACGCCTTCAGTCTTAGGCTTCAGTTTCAGTAAATCAAGCCTCTCTTTGATCACTTACATTTAATTTTCATTATAAAGCCTCCACGATTGTAGATCACACGTATTTCTAGAAAATAGTGACGAGGCCAAAATAATATCTGTTTAAAAGATCTGGCTGGACTATTTAATTGTTGTCTTTATAAAAGATGGCGTTGTTTAAAATTTTAATTAAAAATGTAATCATTTAAAGTATTTTTAACATCTATTTTTTATTTAAATTTATAGAACGAATATTTGCGTTTAGTAGTGGTAGGTCCTTGAGCGTACAACGCGCCTTAAGGAGCCAATTTATAGACCACCACAGACCTTACAGGAACTTGATGTTTAGCCGGGGTTGCGGGGCGAGCTCAATAAGCAGGAGAAGGAATGGTTTTTAGTCAGTAAGAGTCTGACACTTCCTCCATCCCCGCCCTGTGTGGGAGAAGTCATTGGCTGATTGACCCCTCACAAAAAAAGCCTGAAAATGTAAACAACAGCACTAAAGTAAAAAAATATACCAAAATAAATATTTTCAAAACACTAAAAGGCTCACGTGTTTATAACACCTGCCTGAAAAACACACATACATAGTTATCTGGCTGAAATTCAGTACTTTATTGGTTGACTCGGCTGAAACATTGTAAATAGTATGTTAATTATTTGAGTATAATAATTATTTTATGTATTTTACATTTATCATTGCGTGGCGCCACCTGTCATTCGTTTATCATATATTTGCATGATAATTTTGAGTAAAAAATAATCTTTATACTTATAAATATTGTTGACAAATGGTTTTTGATGGGATCTTTTTATTTTGACTTCTCTCTCGCGTGTTCTATCAAATTGTATATTTGGCAGTGTAATTACGTAGACAGTTATATATTTACCATTCTTTTTTTGAGAGGGTACAATCATTCAAATTACTTCTCCCACTCAAGGTGAGGCGAGAGGGAGTCAGACTCTTACTGACTAAAAACTAGCCTGTTCCTTACACTGCTTCGGGTTGGGACAGTGGTTATTATTGTAGGGGTTCGTGGGCTATAAAGTACCGCGGCTGCGGGTTAAGGCAGGACAAGGAACGCGGAATTTTCAGTTAATTTTCTGTTTTGTGGTTTTTTAGTCAGTAACAGTCTGACACTCTCTCTTGTCATGCACTGGGCTAGAGAAGTCTTTCGATGATTTTACCTCCTCAAAAGAGGTAACAATAACTTTCTATATTTATTTATTTATTTATTTATTCATTCAATTTTTATCGTACAAGCTAACAGATGATACATCCAAAACGCTTATAAGATTAATAGTTCGGTGTAACCTCGTCATTTTTGTTTATATGTATATAATTTAATTTTCATCAACAGATAATTATGTATTGATAATTGGAAAAAAAATACATCGCAGTTCCTATTTAGCATAAAATATTAAAATGTCGTAGTCGTTACAATTGAAGGAAAAGAAAATAATACGCTCGCTAATATCAAAGTACTTACATAAATACCTATAGATACAGATATAATTAAAAATCAGCGTTTTTTAATGTCTTTAAAAACAGTTCAGTAATTACCAGCAGCGTAATGTTATGTAATTGTGTTATTTATTAATATTCTAAAATACAATAAACAAGTCAATGTTTGAAATCAAAACGACGCTAAAATGCCGTAGCCTTTAACCTAATAGGCTATCAAGAATTCTTAAGGTAGATAACAACAACTCAATTTTAGTAAAACAACCGAAAAACACAGGTCAATACACCCGGATATAAAAAAAATAATACTATACATATTTCATTATCTTTGTTTTTGAAAACTTGGATGATGTGAGACCACCCAGATTTTCTCCTTTTTAAACGAATCCATGCGTTTACAAAAAAATAATAATTGTAAACGAATAGACGGATAACTTGATACGCTGTCAGCGCCGCCAACCTTATGGGAATTTGGATTTTGGAGATTTAGGGATTGGGGGAGCGGAAAGATCGAGTCTCTGGTAACCTTACTCACACGACAATACAACGCTGTTGTTGTTTCACGCCGGTTTTCTGTGAGGTCGTGGTATTACTCCGGGCGAGCTGACCCATTCGTGCCGAAGCATGGCTCTCCCACACTTATAGGTCTAACTGACCACTTTTGGGTCAGTCTTACGCTCTAGTACTTAAATACAGAAGATATTTATCCCGAACTTATATCCATTCCAGTGGGTACAGATGATATTATGTTAATATGTGGCATACTTGAGTATTTTAGATCGCCATTAGTCAGCGGCATGTGTTAAAGTACTATCGGCTGATGTGTAGTTTAACTGGAAGAATACATACATATGTCCTTATATTCCTTATTGTCTTTATTACTTCGTGTTTGAATTAAAACTTTTACAACAAAAACAATTTCATTTAAATTTCAATAACAAATCATTTGTAAAGAAATAACGATGCAGTTTTTTGGTGGTTATTTTTCTTACGAACATGTATTTTGGAATGAGCACCTAGCTTCACTGATAGACAGTTCTATTTGACGTTATGAAAGGACCTATAACTGTATTAATTTTAATATAAATGGTTTGATTTTGACTTTCTGAGAATTTAATAAAGAATCAGAAGAGACATTGGGTTTAGATACAGTGATGTTTCAGATCTTTCTACTTGTAATGTAAGTAGTGTTTGAAATAATAGTTCCAAGATTCATAGTCATCAGCATATTTGGCGATAGTACCTCAGTAAGATACCCCCAAGCGTACTCTAGATAATAAAATAGTATTCTGATACTAAGATAATATTTTGCCATGAATAATTTATAGGGCCCAGGAGATTCGTATGGGCGTTATCGCGATTCCGTGAACTTTGTTCAGTAAACATGGAAAAACATATTATAAATGTTTTAATTATGTTTTTTCAAGGGAGATATTTTGTTTTTCGATCCCTTCTGAAGCGGAAAGATTGTTTTTGTGTGAAAGGAAACTGGACTTATTTCCTTGTACGTCGTTTGTTGTTAATGTTTTAGGAGTGTTGAGCTGGTGGAATATATATTATTTTGTCTTTGTGATGAGTATGAGGAAAAAACAAAATTTAGAAGAAATTTTCCATGGAAAAAAAGTCTCAAATGATTGCTCGCCTTATGCGACGCGACGGTTATTTCTTGAAGTGTTTATTAATAAGATTTTTGGCTTAGACAGTATCCAGTATTAAATCACTACCTTCTTCATTAGACAAATCTGTGCCAATATAAAACGAACCTCAAGCACATTAATATACCAACCATTTTACAAAAACATTCCATATAACTTTCGAGGACCGACCAATTTCCTTAATGTTACAGCCGAAACATTTATGAAGTTGAACGCATGTAAATCAACACAAGTGTTCTTGTTTTTTCTCCCTCCTCCCACCATTTCGGGAAAATCGTTAGGCTTGTACGTAGATAGGGTTGCCAGGTCGCCATACTTATAGATGGGATGGACCAGCGGACTTTGGCTGTCATTTAGGTAAAAAAGGCATACCTATTTTGTAGTCGTACATTTTATAAAAGTGTGGGAGAGCCAAGCTTCGGCACGAATGGGTCGACTGGACCGGAGTGATACCACCAATGGCCTCACAGAAAACCGGCGTGGAATAACCACAGATTCGCGCTGTGAGTGAGGTTACCAAAGGCCCAAATTGTCGCTTCCCCCATCCCTTCGCAATCCTTAAATATCCGGAACGCTTACCCCGAAAAGTCAGCGTTGCGGGTCTCCATAGGCAGCGCTGATTGCTTACCATCAGGTAATCCGTCTGAGAATCTGAATGCGTGTGTTATTCAGGCCTGGAAAATTGCAACTTACGTTTAGTTCTGGCGGGTCGGGCAAAGAAAAAGTCTAACTATGTCCGTGTTTATCTGGACGCCTGGTAGCCCTGTAGTTGGATAACATATAAGAGGTCATGACATGCGGGTTTTCTGTTCAATCAATCAAACGGACGGATAGGTCTATACGTGGTCTGACGGGAACCTAGACAATGATTTACTGTTGGGAATCACTACTGATTTATAATGGCCGCCCTGAAGTTAAGGCTCGTAAACGGTTGTGATAACGACCTGATTGTATTGTTGAGTGGAAGGTAGGCAAGGTGTTAAGATTGTAGAACTAAAACAAAAGATGGTAAGGTTGGGTTTTCAATAAAACTAAATTTTATCGAATTTATTACGTTACGGTAGGCTTTTCAACGTCCGTGGTTGGTTCGTAGATATGTTAAAACTTCTTTCGTTGTGTCTGATGGTATTTTAACAATTAATTTTTGAAGTTGGCGTTGAATTTTATCTGTCTACAATCGACAATATCAAGATTTGATTTAAGTAACTAACATCAACCAGTATCAGCGACTAATATCAGTTCCTAACTCCTTTCATTCATTTAGTTTGGTATTTATTTAAATACTTAGTTAAATCTCGTTTAGTTTTATAGTGATGGGGTGATAATAGTGTAAAAAATCAGTTCTTGAATAGCAACTTTCGTGAGACATGCTGATGGTATTGAAAATAACAGCTTACTCACGTGAATTAACTGAGAATAGCTCTATTAGTTTCAACTCACAACGGGACTCTTATTCATGAGCAGCGTACGGGTCGCGGCGAAGCGTAAGAGTTGCAACTAGTTGTGCTTATCTCACGTGATTTAGTAGTTATTTTCAATAATAAAAAAAGAAATAATTTATAATTCGAGACTAAACTATCCTTTACCAAATCCAAGAATCAACCACAAGATACATTGATCGACAACAAAACATCCAAAAAGTGCAATTTTAAAGGAAACATTAACTAAAATTAAAATCAACATCTAATTAAGTGCTTCAAAATGGCAACACGGCTGTTTAAAAGGTACTAAACATTCGGTTGTTGCCGTAAAATAATTAATGCGCAATCCAACTGTCGTACCTAATGAATTAGGCACAATTAGGCACTCGATAATACCTCTGTTAATTACACTGCGATAGTAATGAGATATTTATGAACGTGTTTCATGTGCGTGTGTTCAGTTTAATTATGCGAAACGGCTGGTTTGATTTTGATGTGATACTTTACGAATGAATTCAGATTGACTCTATGCGACACCGATGTGTGTGTTTCCAATCTATGGGAGTAAAATTATCAATTTGGTCTTAGTTAAAGAATGTCAAAATTTTATTCTGAATTTGATTTACATGGTTTCAGGTTTTAAAATAAAGGGCCTATTTCGGATTATCTGATTAGCTGTAATTTATCAGATAACTTTAAATTTAAAAACAAATGTGTGAACTATGTATCACAAGTTTTTCGGGAAATTGTGAAGAAGTCGGAGAAGGAGACTTGTCTTACGAAGTTGGAGCATATAGACTTGATCAAAAGAACTTGTATAATATACAATCCTATCTTCAAAATAAAATATAAAATGAAAAAATAACAATTAAAGTTCAGTTCGTCAGTACAAAATATTTTAAGAATTTTTGTCCTATTTTTACTACGGTTTCTTTCAGTGTTCAAATTAACTTCACTTTTAGCGTAGGTACGTGGGCGGGACATTACCGGCGGACCTTAAATTAAGATTCAAACTTCAGTATAAAACATAACACAAAATTTTGCTTTTCAACAACAACTCCATGTTTATTTAAACTTTATGAATTAATAATTATTTCCTGTTTTCTTTTATAAGAGTTGGAAGAAAATAAGGATTTTATTTTAGGGTGATTAATCGTTTATGTAATGAGATTTTCAGTGTGGATGATAAAATTTAGTTCATGGTTTAATTTCGTTATGGCAGGTTCAAGTCTGTGTAAGGTTCGAAACCTGGTAAGGCCTAAGGTTGTGACTTTTTTGAGTTATATGTACTTTGTATGATGTTAGATTATTTTGACACCACTTGGATAGATCGTAGTATCATAGTAAGAAAACTTAAATTTCAATTTCGACTTATAATTTTGAAAATGCCAATCAGTCTTGGGCGTGTGTAGTGTTTTTTTAAAACGTTTACGTACTTTTGCAAACATACACATCACACCTAAAACCGGAATAACTTCTGCTGCTCCTGCTGCTGCTGTGGCTTCTGCGCTACTCATAAAGTCTCGGTGCGACTTGAAACAAGTAGACATTTCCCAGTTAATTTAATCGGTGTTAAATGTCAATTTTATATTTCTCTTTTTGAAAAGAAGGCATTAAATGTGAAATCAATAACATCGCTTATCTTCTTATCTTAACTAGCTAGAAAATAAATTTTCGTCTAAATCATTACATAGTATAAAACAAAGTCGCTTACTCAGTCCTTTTGTCCATTTGTTAGCTTATATTTATAAAACTCTGCAACGGATTCTTTTGCCGCTGTTTTTAATAGATAGAGTGATTGAAGAGGAATGTTTTATGTACCTATAATAACATCCATTAAATACTGGAGAAATTTAGTATTAGCGTTGCAGTTCTGCGAAGCTGGGGCGGGTCGCGATTTACATATAAATTCACAACCAACATTTTTGTTGCCAGCACGAGGGAGCTTTATGACAAAATATTAATTAACTGTTATCTTTACAGATTTAGACAAGCAGTTCTCGGTGCATCCCGAGAATGCGACGGTGTGGCGTGGCCAGCCGACGGTGCTGAACTGCGCCATCGGCTCAGGACCTGACGCCACAATATCCTGGCAGAAGGATGGAGGACCTCTGCCTAATAGTAATAGGTACGTGTAAACTGATTAATCACAGTACATTTTGAGCAAAAACAAATAGCTTTTTAATGGGTTAGGTTAGGTTAGGCCAACGTGCAGTTGGATCCCCTGATGGTAAGCAATTAGCTCCGCCCGAAGAATTTAGCCTCCGATTACCTTACTCATACGGAGAAATGAAACGCCTTGGTGGTTTCACGCCGGCTCCCTCTAAGGCCGTAGTATCACTCCGTTCTACGAAGTTTAGTTCTCACATACTTAATCATTGTTTATTGATCATTAGTAATTAACCTTTTTTGTGACAAAAGCCAAGTTCTTTCATTATACTTACGCATTCATCCTTTTTTTAATTAATTCTAACACGCTAGAAAACTTATACTATAAAGGATATCTCAAACAACTTAAACGGCTGGATGTGTATGTACTCTTTGGGGCACCAAGTTATTTAGTTTTATGGCAATAAAAAAACAATTGCATAAATACATTGATGGTTTGTTTCAGATATCATTTGCTGAAAAATCAGCTACTTATCACGGACGTGACTGATGAAGATGCAGGATCTTACAGGTAACATACGAATATAATTGTATTATTCCTTTGTGTCCGATCCTTTCACGACCAAAACGTTCATGAATACACAATTATTGTGACTTGGTAAAAGCACGGTTTTTCATGCGCTACGAAGTATGCGACTCGCATTGCTACGCTATGCTACGGCGTAGCACGTATCGCTACGACTGCTTTTTATCCACGCTTTTCTTTGTTTTCGTGTAACCACTTGTTTCTTCAAACAAGGAAGCGGGTTAATAAGAAACCATAATTAGGTTAGCACGATGGCTGGGCTCACATTTAAATGGAAAAATATGTTGTGGGCTTCATAAATTGTATTTTTTATGTGTTAGTACGGCAAACCCAACCCTCCACCCATGGACACTCGCAAAAATATAGGAGTTATGAGTGCGTTGCCAAACTTTTGGGGATTAGGGATTTGGAGATTTAGGGATTGGGGGAGTGGAAGTATTGGTCTGGCCGCTGTAGTTGCTTCACGCTGGTTATCTATAAGGCTGTGTGATAGTGATATCACTCCGGTCCTGCCGACCTATTCGTGGCGGAGAATGGATCTCCCACAGTTTCTTTTCATAACTTGAACTTGGTAAATGCCTGTTTTCGTAAATGCGTTCACCACCCAAGAAATATAAACACAGAGTGGGGTCACCTTTCCTTTTTTTTAATATTTATTTACCAAAGCATAGTAGGTACTAGGTACTAAAATCTTCTTTCGCTTTACCAGATGCAAAGCAACCAACTCTCACGCAAACAGAACGAGGTTCAGTCATGAAGGTAGACTGCAAGTTGAGGAGTATCCTGCAGACCTGGAGCCTGGGATCCTGCCGGTCAGTGACCAGAGGCACATAGCTGTTCCCGCGGGTGGGACCTTGGTGATGCCGTGCCCTGTCACTGGATGGCCACGGCCAAGGGTAAGTTCTTCAATAAAGATTTGTGAAGGAACCGTGTGACGAACTTTAAAGTTATATGTATTTATTTTAGGTTGCAGTAAACTGGATTATGCGATTTGATTTGGGATTTTGTGTGACAGATTTCAATGAAATCGTGGAAGAGTTTCTATTGTTTAAATTAATTGGATTGGAGAGCCTTCGTTAAGTTTGTTCTTAAAAGATTCGATTTTATTCGTTTTTAGACACATGACTGTGCTTCATGTCACAGGTCTGCTGGTAGACATTCCATTAAGGGGTAACCAGTACCTTTGAACCTGATTATTTTTCATACTTTTTTCCTATAGTGTGTATGTTTGCATATAATGAAACAATCAACCAAAAGATTCGAACAAATACATCCATAGATTCGCGTTTAAAAACTTATTAACTTGCAAAAAAACTGTTTTGATTTGTAATATAAGTATTGATTGCTTGTAACACACCATACATCTTTTATCTTCTTCTTTCAGTTAATATGGCAGTTCTCTCAACCTGGCGAAAGGACCAGTGAGTTAGAGGAGACGGATGAAGTCCTGATACGGAGAAATGTGGACCTGCAGCAGGAAGGAGTCTACACCTGCAGCGTTGAAGGCAATAGTGACCTGTTCAAGGTGAGACTTGATTACTGTCTATATAGTCTAGTGTATGTCTGCAAACGAGCAGAAGGATTACCTGATGGTAAGCAATCAGCGCCGCCCATGGGCAACCGCAACACCAAAGGAGTTACAAGTGCGTTGTCGGCCTTTTAGGGATAAAGGTTTCGGATATTTATTTAGGACTGGGAAGTTCCGGTAACCCCATTCACACTGCGAAACCATTCCATTTTCGCGTCGATTTCTTTGAGGCCGTGGTATCACTCCGGTTGAGCCGACCTATTCGTGCCGAAGCTTGGCTCTCCCACACTTTTCTTTTACGCATACCATAATGAACGTGGTATGGTGGTCACGTGGTTGAAACCTAACTAAAATAAGCAATTGTCAATTCGATTCTTTAAGCAATAAAGTACAAAATACTTTAAATTAAACTGACTGATTAGGGATACTTTGATCTGCTGTTGTCTCCGAAGGCCTGAGGTGAACGTTTTGTCAAATAAACCAGAGAAAATGTACTCAATTTCTAGCACAAATGCCTTAAAGCGGTACAAGCCGGTTTCTCGGAAAATATATTATATCTTCTACCCAATGTATGTATATAACAAAAAGCAATTACTTAAATAGATATGTTTAGATTGTTAGAATTAAATATTGTTTGGTAAGGTTTCGTGTTTGTGTTTCGTTAGGGCGTGGGTTTACTGTTGAGATTCATGATTTTGATTTAAGAGTTTTTTGGATTGGGTAGATCTTTAAGTGGTTTTCTGGGTGCTCGGTGGGGGAGGGAGAGTTTTAAACTTTTACTTACTAAATACCACACCCTGTTTCCTACTCCGAGCCAGAGCTATGGGACATTATTGTGCGTGCGCTAACTATTTGCACTCGAGTTTTTTTTTCTTTTACCAATATTGGCCAACCTATTCATACATTCCTGTTTCCGGATAAACGGTGCTGTGTTATTGTGTAGTAGTGTTTTTTTTTGCCAGGGGTCTATCATCAAATATTTTTTATTCATCAAAGATTTATAATACTTTTACTGGTACTCGGTAACTGGAGCTTGGCTTGCTTGCCTAAATACAGATTGAACTGGATGTCAGGTTTGATACCCGGGACAAGCTAAATTTTGATTTGCAATTCTTTACTCTCTTTTGCTATTGACAAATCTTCCGTTATCTGATCTAGGAGTCTGTATGCTCACAAAATCTTAAAATTGTGTAGTGGTGTCATCAACCAATATGGACACATCTTAAATTAATTGTTCTGAATGTACACAGTGTAGGATTGTTTCGTTATAATTATAACATGTTAGTAAACGTAGTAACGGTACCTATGTTATTACGCTAATATTGTTGTATTATTGTATTATCAAAATAAAACAGAGTGGCCAATCAAACGTTAAGTAGGTAATTTATGATATATTATATAAGAACTTTAATTAATTTAAGATGCTTTTATATTAGAATTTTAGTCTAAAACCTCTTATTTGTTGTGTTTTAAGCCCTTGTTGTAATTTTTTTTTATGTTTTACGTCGGCAAACGACCCGATGGATTACCTGATGGTAAGCAATCAGCGCCGCCAGTGGACACCCGCAACAACAAAGGAGTTGTTGTCAAATGCGTTGTCGGACTTTAAGGGATAAATGTTTAAGATATTTAAGGATTGGGAAGGGAAGGGTGATGCCCAGGGAAGGATGATGGGGAGGGATTGAGCCTCCGGTAACCTCACTCACATGGCGAAACACAACGCTGTGTTGTTGTTGTTTCATGCCGGTTTTCTGTGAGGCCGTTTTATCACTACGGTCGAGCGCCATTCGCGTGAAGCTTGGCTCTCCCACACTTAATTTAATATTATTATTATTTATGTATTATTTATATGTTATATATGTATCTATCTGTAGGATATATTTATTGTATTCATATATACTTTTGTACCTATGCTTATTAAACATTGTATGCTTGTTTAGAACCTATTGTTAACATTTCTCTGCATCACCCTTGACGTTGACTGGTAGAGAATGCCTTCGGGCATTAAGTTCGCCTTGTATAAATATTGTACATAAAGTGTTAAAATTAATAAGATATCGCCTACTAAGGTTTCCCTGCTTAATTCTAAAATTCTTTTTCTATTACAGACCTTCAACGTGGTGATCACAGAACCGGTCAAGATCACGGTACCACCGGTCTCCAAGCAGACGATCAGAGCTGGTACTGTTCGGTTCAACTGCACTGCCGTTGGGAGACCAGCCCCAACTATCACGTGGTACAAGGATGGAAAGCCTTTGGCTGTTGCTGGACGGGTGAGTTGAGACGAAATAGTCTAATCATTTAATATTCTAGGGAACGTAAACAAAAATAATAATAATCAATCTATATAAATATAAATCAATGCCACTTTTCAAACTCAACGATGCCTTTACCGATTTGGCTAATTACCCGACTACGGCAAAGAAAAGGATGATTTTGACAGGCTATGTATGTATGTATGTATGTATGTTCATCTGTTCCCTCCTAACTTTTAAACTACTTATCAGACTTCGACAAATGACATAACATTAGAAACGTCTTAGTTGTCCGCTGGTTATAGGCTATGTGAGGTATCACAAAATCTAATGTTTAACGCTATCAAAGTGCAGGTATGGTAGGTAAATGTAACGTGTGACTACGCCTTTCAGTATATTGTTTAATCCTTTTTAGCGTATTTTTTTTTGTCGTAGTTGGGTTTTAGTTTATATACTTTTTATTATTTTAATTTTGAATTATTCGTGAAAGTCTAGAGAATACGTAGAGAATATTAAAGTGCGAGCGGAGCCGTGGGCGAACGCTATTACTTAGCTAGTAGCTATATCAAAAAGTTCAGTTTTGTGTGTGTCAGTCTCTTGTACTATCTAGTGAAGCTATATTACTATATTACTCTTTCCAAAGTATAAATTCCGATGGAGAAGAACGAGCAAGAAAATCCATGGCTACCCTTTTTCAGTCAGTTTCACAATTCATTTTTTGTTACATCATTTAGTTCGTTCTGTTATGTGAGAACAGCTTGTAAATAGTATCTAATTGTATAAATTTTATTCATTGAATATGTTGAGGATGGGTTGATTTTCTTTTGACTATACCTAGGTATAGTGTCAACATTAATTAGATTTGTTACAAAAGATGTGGTGCAAGCCGTTTTTATCTTTCACTTGTTTTATGCGATATGAAACGAAGGCAAACCAGTAAACGGACTATTTTATTTATTAAGAGCTGATTTTTAAATAGTTAGATAAATGTTATCTGAGGAATAAAATTGTTGTTGTCACTGTCTTATACAAACATTCTGACGCGACAGCATCATAATTATTCCGCAGATAACTTTTATCTAACCATTGACAAATGAATTATTGTTGCTATTTCAGATTGTGGTGTTACCATCAACTGATGGGAAGCGAATGGAACTACTCATCAGGAGTCTCACGTCCGAAGATGCAGGTACCTAAACATTATTTTAATAACTTACTTTTGAAAGAATTACTTTTTGATTTTTTACTAAAATTGCACATACCTACAATTTATTCAGTTAATTATAAGTATTCTGATATGTATTGACAACTCTTTTTATATATGTCTGGTAAAATTTAAAAAGTTAATGAAGGATTTTCTTTTATAAATTTACCAAAATTACATGTATATCAATCATCTAAAGACACAACAGACAAACGGTGAAGGAAAACATCGTGAGGAAACCTGAACCTATAATTTCTAATCAAGTATAAGTTTGTAATCCAATCACCAATCAGCCAATCAACCAATCATAATTTTTGTTGTAAATATGAAACGCGAAAGTTTAAAAGTTAGTGTCACCAAATGGCGTTGAGCAAGCTTCGCATTTATCAAATCTTCTTCATATGAGAAGAGACCTTTGCTTAGCAGTAAGCACTTATAGGCTAACTAGCTACTCTCGCGCGGTTTCACCCGCTGCTCGGCTCCATTTAACCGTAGCGTGATGTTTTATAGCCTATAGCACTCAGGAACTTTGTAGCTATCTAGCAGTGAATTTTGGGAATTCGACCAGCGGTTCCAAAGATTAACCTTTTTATAATATTAGTATAGATAATTTAATGTGATGATTTAAGAATCTATTTGACTTTTCCTTTTGTCTCCAGGTGTATACCAATGCTTCGCTCAGAACCCTACATCATCAGCATCAGCGTGGGCTACCCTGAATGTGACAGGCGTGAGTGCTGCAGCCCCTACAGGAGTGCAGTGCTGGCCAGCTGGGGCCAGGGCCGTGGCTGTGCGCTGGCCCAAGGTCAACGCCGATGTCATGGCTTATACTGTGCAGATTACCACACCAGGTTAGTCAGTGGAGATGGATATTCTAAACTATCTTCAGCTCTTCTTCATCATTTGTTTTATTCACAGTCACAAATATCACAAATATATCTGTCATTCAAATAATTTGATGATAAAATCAATTTTGTGAAGTAGATTATATTACAGTTAATATCTAAGCATCGGAATGATGGCGTATAACGGAGTGCGTGAGAAAGAACACCGGTGTCCGGACACCGCCAACAAACCCTAACCCATAACTAACCTTAAGACCATTTTAAAAGTATGTAACTTAGAATTGATTTTCATATCCACCTCACGTAACTTCCTAAATTACTGTATATCACCTACCACACATCTCTGCACTACCAAAAGGTTGACTGGCCGAAAATGCTTCTAGCATTAAGTCCTCCGATAATTATGCAATTATATTTAAAGAATAAATAAATAAAAAGGGAATATACCAAGAAAATAATAACAATGGGGTTTCTTCCTACTTAAAGACTATCATAAATTAAAGTCTAATGTGATTTAACAAACAAAACGGCTTTGTCACGTAAATTAACTTAGACAAACTCTATTCTGAGTTGTGACATCTCCGCCCGCTGCTTATGTAAAACAGTCCTGTTGAGACTTTAAATTAGTAGAACTTTTGATATATTATTATTCGTTTTCTATTCACCAGGTGGCACTTCATTACCTGGACAGCCGGTTATCGGCATTGAGGAGATCATCTCTGTTGCTGAACCGCTTACACCTTACGGATTCCAGGTCGGTACAAAGTTGTTACATGCTTAATATGTTAGATAGTAATATGTTTAACAGTATTTCACACTCCAATGTAGTTTTCTTTATTCCACGTATGGTATAGGTATCAAAAATATTATATTTTATTTCCTATATCCTGATAATGAATGGAATGATTTATTTTATAGCGGGATACAAAACAGTTCTTGTCCCAAAGATATTGGTCCAAATATTTCGAATCATTGTTTAAGTGTTTTCATGGCGTTTTATTTGAATCTATTCAGAAATATTATTTATAAAGAGTAACAAATATATGTATATCCGTACTTGGGTACTTTCGCGTTTAGAATATTAGTTCTCCGTCGTTACTCTTCCTACACAATTACTTTATTTTTGTTTCAGTTGATATTATTACAGACAAATACAGTCAATACAGTCTTTCAGTACTTATAATTAACATTATACTGTCTGCAGGTCCGTGCTTACATCAAGTCATCATCAACGAACAAGAACGTCGCGAGTGATATGTCTGAGAGTGTCATGTGTCAGGGACAAGGGGGTAAGCTAAACTATTACTAATCTCACAACTTAGTGAGTTACTGAGGTACATAATTTTTCTAGAGCAGAGTTTCCTAATTTTACTTGGTTTACAGCTCACTTAAAACGAGAAAAACACAAAGCCTTCTTTTTTATGTATTAAGTCGGCAAACGAGCAGACGGATTACCTGATGGTAAGCAAACAGCGCCGCCCATGGACAACGAAGGGGTTATGAGTGCGTTGCAGATCTATTGGGGATTAGGGATTTGGCGATTTAGGGTTTAGGGGAGGGGTATTATTGGGCCTCCAATAACCTCACTCACATGGTAAAAAAACCACGCTGTGGTTGTTTCAAGCCAGTTTTTCTGTAAGGCCGTAGTATTACTCCGGTCGAGCCGAGCCACTCGTGCCGAAGCGTGGATCTCCGATACTTATATTTTAATAAATGAAAAAATAGTTATACATATGTAAGGTTCCTAGGTATCTTATTCGACCTCGGAGCAGGAGATAGAAAGGGGAGGTTTTTAGTCAGTAAGAGTCTGACACAATTGCGAGAAATCATTTAAATTTTATAAGGTAACTAGTAGAGCTTTTCATTATTTTCCTTTTAATTTTTAAAGACAGATTTAATATTTTAATCTTATCATTACCAACAATGCTGTTGTGATCTATAACAAGCTCTTACAACTATATCATTCATTGCAGTGCCAATAAAACTGGCTCGCCAAGGAGATGACATTTTAGTATCCTGGAAGCAGTTCGCAGACCAGACTCCTGGCGTGCTGCAGTGGATCCTGCAGTACAAGGCTGAGAATAGCTCTGATGAACATAACGTCACCTTGGATAAGGGTGTTACCAATCATACAATCAAAGGTAAGATGAATATTTCAACTTATAAACCATTGAAACATATTCATTAAAATAAGTATGCTTTTTTATATGACATCACGGTTGGGATTACCTGATGGTAAGCAATCAACGTTGCCCATATATGCCGGCAACACCAGCATTCCAGTAGGTTGCTGGCCTTTTGGAGGTTTAAGGATTATGGAGAAATGGAAGGATTGGACCTACGGACACCCCATTCACACGGAGAATTACAACGCTTTGATTGTTGAACGCCGGTCGAGACGACCCATTTGTGCGAAGTATGGCTCTCCCACACTTAAAGGTCTACAGCCTAACTGACCACTTTTGGGTCAGTCTTACGCTCTAGTACTTAAATACAGTAGAGAAGTACTCCTGAGCCATGATTCAAGGTAATAAAATTTGTCAAAATTCGAAGAGAATTCACATCTTTCACGTTTCAGATAAAGAACTGATTTGTTCTAGTTGGAATCTATATAGCCCCAATGAAAAATTTAAAATATATTTTTTCAGTACCCTCTGAAGAACCGCTGCAAGTCCGAGTGTTGGGAACGAGGATGATACCCTGGCTGCATCAGAACCTGACGCTGGTGCCCTGGACTTCCACCACCATCGCTATACATGCTCCCGACGGCGGGTGAGGTTCTGTTGTCGCCAAACTGACGAGCAACTTGGTCGTAGCTTTTAAGTTTAATCTAAGATGTCAACTGAATTTTTCTATCATTTTTAAAGTTTGACCATTTTTTTATTCATTCTTTTGTGTTTTCTGCTAGGACCAGCCCTGTTTTTTTGAAGATTTCTTCGTCCAGAAGTGGGATATATTTACCTATTAATTACCTTATCATAAATTACCTATTTAAAATTCAGTTCAGAAAAAGTGAAAGCCAAAAGAAGAAAAGAAAGATATTGTCTTATGATTAACTTTTATAAAAACAGAGAGCTAAGTGTGACTTTTCTTCACGTTAAGCGCTTCAATTATTGGTGGGCTAATTTGGAGCTGACCAATTACAGCGTTCGACGTCATAAACGTGTCGATGGGATTATAAGTAAAACGAACTCGCAGCTGGCACTCTGACGTGATTATTGTGACTCCAACCCAACCACTTCAGTTCTTGCTGATGTGTGGACACACAGAAATTGGTTCAGTAGTTTAGGCTTGAAGAAAAGACAAAGAGAGTTATTTTCGATTACGATTTAGATTACGCACCCACATCGCTCCTCATCAGAGGTTCTGCCAATAACCTCCACGATTGGCAAATCAAATCAACACCATTTAATAAACAACTTCTTTTCTGGTCATTATCAGAGAGGTAACAGCGGTTCCTGAGGACGTGGAGGTGACGGACGTTAAGGCTCGGGAGTTCACGGTCCGCTGGCGGTGCGAGGAGTCCGAGTTGTCCCTGGAGACTTACACCTATATGGTGTGCACTAGGAAGGTGGATGGGAATGAAGAGTGTATGGAGAGGTTTGTGGTCTTCTTGATATCTAATTTATCCAAATTTTTGTGTACATGACGTTGCATGCGTCAACATCAAACATCAGGTTGACTTTTTGACTGTCAAAGTTAGCCTAAATAGTGAAGCATCATTGTCGAGGGTTCGCGGACGATCTGAACACATTAAAATTTATAGTTCGAGACGGCGTCCGCGCACCAAGTTTAAGACGAATCGCTTTGCATCCAAGTGATTACTGTCATTGTAACGAGGTCTTGTGGTTTTCTCTGCTCACGCTTACCTGCCTACCTACCTTCTAACGTAGGTACATCATATAAGATGAGTTCTGATGAAGGCCCTCCTGACCCTACAAACACGAAATACATATAAAACATTTAAATAAAAGAGGTATAGAAATAGTGCATATTCCTTCTTCCTGCAGCCCTGTGACAGGAAAATCGAATCTCTTTGCATGCAGTCAATTTAGCCAGTTTAAAATGAACCCTGATTAAATTACTTGGCGTACTCAGTATATTTTTAAAAGTATAAAACCCAGTTCTTTGAACTTTTTTATTCTTACTACTTCTACTATCTGTTTAGTCATCTGATCGCGAATAGATATTTATTGAACTTTATGTAATAGTTTGAATTTTATTATTATTCTGAAATGCCTTTTATACATATTGAAATAATGTGGACTTATATTAATATATATAAACTTCTTCCTACAGTCGCAGTAAATCGATACGCATAGACAAGCTGTCTCCTAGCACAGAGTACGAGGTACGAGTCCAGGCTCGTATACCGGCGCGGATGGCCGTCGGAGAGTTTTCCAAACCCATACATATTAGGACACAGGCTGAGGGTAAGTGTTTTTGATATATTTTCACCACATTAATGAGTTTCCAAATTATATTGATGAGTTCGATATTTTACTTTTTAATAAAGATATTAACTTCTTCTTTGGCTATCTGTGTGTTTCGCCGTGTGAGTGAGGTTACCGGAGGCCCAATCCTTTTCCTTCCCCCGATCCCTAAACCTCCAACCAACCACAATTGATCCGCAAATTGTTGTTCTGGGTCTGAGTGTGATGTGTATCTGAATTTCAGTTTGAAAACCCACGACCTAGGATTAAATCGTAGCGTGAACTCACTTTTTTTTCTTAAAATTTACCTGTAATTTGTCTTATGCTGCGTGCCATTGGTAAGCGACCATCAATAAAAAACGAAATTCCATCTAAAAATGTCGAGAATTCAACTCCAAATTTTAGTCTAAATGCCAATCTTACTCCATCAGTCAAATTTCACCAACTAATAAAAAATTTATCTCCTCAGGTACAAAGCGCTTTGAAAATTTGTCTTACACGATGGTGAACACTTCAGCTCTTCGCGTCTCCTGGAATAGTCTACCTGACAAGTATACCATACACTACAGCAATGAACTGACCCTGCCTATCAACCAATGGCCGTGCGTCGATACTGTGGGCAATACAGTCGTGGTAAGTGATTTTCAACTTTATTATCCGCCAACTAGGTTTTAGTTTTGATTGCAATTATCTAGTGGCGCTACTGTAGTTCAAATATCACTTTGTCCAATCACCGTAGCTGTCAAAAATTGAACGTCTAATCGTGTGACACTAGCTCGTTTCCTATTAGAAGAATGGACCTCGTGGCCACACTAGCACTGAATAAAAGCTTATAAAAAAACGTAGACTCCTATCTGGTTATGTCATGCCATGTTTTTTACTCTAGAAAAATCTCTGTTGAATAAGACTTTTTTAGTTCTTACTACCGCTCCTTAGAATAAAGCTGGTCTGATAAACTTGGTAACGAACGATATGAGCTCTATTTTTATTGAAATAATATTAATTTTCGAATGAATTGTTCCAGTTGACCGGTCTGGACCTGACGAAGGAGTTGTACGTAATGGTGACAGGATATGAACCTCTTGGTCACAGCCAGATCTTGAACATACCTGTGTTGGTGCCCGGTAAGTCAACCAATTTACGTGTTAAAATCATCATATGACATATGACTCCGGCCCTAGATGGGGCGAGAGGGAGTGACAGACGGATTAAAACTCCCGTAATTACTTCTCCTGCTCCGGGCCGGAGATGCGATACGGCTGTGGAGATTGTAGTCTAAAAAGTTAGGTAGGTTTATCGGTGGACGCTGTTCAATTTCCGTCATACCTATGAACCTATCCCTTTAGTTTGCTCTTATGACACACAGATCGTAGATCTTAGGAGATAATAATGCCTCTCAAAACGTGTTTAGACACTAATGTGAGGGTTTTATGATGTTTGCGTGACTCCAGACTTGCAACAACAATTTGCGGATCACAAAAAGTATTGTGTCAAGTGGCACGGTCCAGAGTTGCGGGATTGAATAAGGTTCCGAGGCCCCGGCCTTTAGCAGGACGAGCGTTTTTAGTCTGTGAGCGTCTGAAACTCCCTTTCGCCTCACCCTGGGCGAAGAAATCAGTCATCAAATGATAGTGCCCCTAGATAAAAAACTCCGCGACACGTTGCACAGCCACCATTTGCTCAGCTACTACGCTTACCGTGTCTAAATTTCAGATGGACGTTTACTTGACCATGTTATTCATGTTATGTTCTTATACCTTCCAGAAGCAAAGGAGCTGCAGTACTGGTTCACGCCGACGGGCGTGCAAGTGACTTGGAGGGGGCAGGGCCCGCGCATCGTGCGCTACTCACAGAACCTCACGCAGTCACTCGACCTGTGGCATACCATCAATGTTACCACTAACTCTGTACATGTGAGTATGGTCACACTTCTTATATCCTGAAGGTGGATGGATTTCTTTTTTGTTATTGGATAGGACGTCAAAAGGTCAGGCAGATATCCTGATTGTATGCAAGTAGCGCCAATTACAAGTATATTACTTATTGCGTGGTTGAGTCGTTTTATCTATGGAATAGGAGGTAAACGAGAAGAAGGATCACCTGATGGTGAGTGATTAGCGCCCTTCATAGACAACCTCAACACCAGAGGAGTCACAGGCGCGTTGCCGCCGTTTTAAGAAGGAATCCGTTACTTAAATGTGTGAAAGTCATATCGGTCGATTTTAGGATTTGGGAATTTTGATTTGGTGATGTTGTTAGGAAACAATATTGGGACTCCGATAACATTACTCACAAGGCCAAACACAATATAAGCTTTGTTTTATATTATTGTTTAAACGCGCTAATCTCTGGAACTACTGGTTCGAATTCAACAATTCCTTCTATGTTCATTAGTCCATTTATGCAGAAAAGCTAAAGCGTATAAAATACCACGCTACGATTTGTAGGAGCCGAGCAGCGAGTGAAACCGCGTGAGAGTAAGTTGTTTAATAATTGCTTTATTGTTTCAGATCTCAGGTCTCGAGCCTGATTTGACAACGTACGTGATGGTGGTAGCCCCGGGGCCCAGCGCCCGGAACCAAGTCGTGAACATCCTGCCGCGACCACCAGACCAATCGTCATATTACCTGAGTACATTCCTTGCATATTTGCCAGAAGCTTAACTCTGCAACTATTTTGCTTTGCTTCCATTTTTTTTTGTAGTTTTTAAAAATGCTTTGTCGCTTTCATTTTATTTTATTATTAATAAGATACCATTTCTTTCATGTTAATTTTGAGTATGGCTTCGTAAAATTTAATGTTTTTGTGCCTTGTTATCGAAACAAATGACGATAATTTCAACCTCTTGTCTGTATTTAAAACGATAGAAAAAAATGGTGTCTCATTTTGAGCCTTGTCATACTAGTGGAATGCAAGTTTCTTCTAAGAGGTCGCGCCACGTACAAGGTGTGATTGATACTTTAAATATATTGTTTACCTTTAAGCTGTAATTTAATACACTTTTATATCGTATTTTACATTTTACATCGGTCAAAGAGGCAATTCATCACATAGGTACGCAATCGCCAACATTATTGCCACAAGTTCGCTATGATTCAGTTATTCGTTGCGCAACCTAAACATATTCGTTGCGCAACCGTGGCGTATTCGTTGCGCTACCATAGCGTCTTCGTTGCGCAACCGTGGCGTATCGTTGCGCAATCGTGGCGTATTCGTTGCGCAACCGTAGCGTATTCTTTGCGCAACCGTGGCGTATCGTTGCGCAATCGTGGCGTATTCGTTGCGCAACCGTGGCGTATTCTTTGCGCAATCGTGGCGTATTCATTGCGCAATTGTGGCGTATTCGTTGCACAACCGTAGCGTATTCGTTGCGCACAAGCTCCGCTTTGAACACGCTTGCTATCCACTAGTATGGTTTCAGCCTTTAGCCATTATAGGTACTAGAGGTTTAATTAAAGCTTTTCTGCCTTTTCTTTGTAGATTGTAAGACTTGTGTGAATTTTTGTTTCATTAATTAATAGTCTTGTTTTCTCTTGCTTTATAATCTTAGTTAATAAAGGTGAGTGGTTATTTTGGGTACTTTGGAGTATGATTTTGTCCAGTTTTATATAAATTTATTTAAATACCTCAATGACAGTTCGTAAGCAGGGTAAACACCAATAGTGACCATCCATGTTTGAACAATGGACATGATATTCTGCTTTAGTTGCGGTATTTTTTGCCGAGGGATTGGGGGTTTATTCAATCACTGTTCCTGCCGTGGGTAGGGCAAGTTAGAGTGTCAGACTCATACTGACTAAAACTTACCCCGTTCTTAAGCCTAGTCCGGGTTGGTGTCGTAAGAATTATTGCTTTTACACCCGCAACTGGCAGCTTTAAATGTGGTAGAAATTACATTTGACACCATAACATACTCAATTACTTGAAATAAAAATTAAAAACTAGCAGTTTTTCTCGTTCATACAAATAAAAATAATAAATAAGGTTAATTAAGTGTTCCAATTGCAGATGTCCAGTTATAGATACAATATTTTAAATAAGTACGCGGCCCCTACCTACCTCTGTTTTTAGTTAACAACTTTTATGATTTTATTCCATCCTTATGCCTACCGAATAGGAGTTAAAATCGCTTGTACAAACTGACAAAAGGATGTCTTCAAATTTCTTTAATATCGCCAATTTATTTTACTTGCCTGGTGCAAGAGGTTATTTGAAAAATTAGATTTGTAAATGACACTTTTACTAATAAACAAGGATATGTCCAAATAAGGTAAAAAAAAACTCATATGAATAATAAAAATTATTTCTTTGAATCGCAGGTATCGGCATTGGGTGTGGAGTGGTGTTGATCTGTCTGTTGGCGGCCGCTGCAGTCTGTATATGGAGAAGGAGAAAGAGATCTCATTCTCCTGTCAGGTACGTTTTATTTTAATTGTTCCAACTTGAAAACGCTTTTTTTATAAAATATAATTCTCAATTAAATATGCTGTCTGTAACGAGGCCTTTGTCCCGCACTTGTAAATAGGTTGACGATAGCCACATAGTTATAATCTGAGATTCTTTCACAGTTTGCAAAAAATAATTTAGAAATAACATTACAAACTTACAAATAACACACAGTAGGGGGATTCAAACTATATCTCCAGAACATTATCATCATCAGTCCATAAGTGCCCACTGCTGAGCAAAGGTCTCAATCATATAAAGTTTGAGTACAAGTTCGATCGAAGCCAAAGTCGGCTTGGAAAAAGCCCCATTCTTACTTGCTTAGTTTAGATCTCTCGTGTATGAAGCAACGTCGCAAATGTCACTTTAAAAATCAACTACCATTTACAAAAAATAATCTAATTCCTGTTACATATTGTTCAGGTCCCGCAGACGCAATCTTTCTTCAAACGACGGCAATGAAGAGGAAGGAGCAGAAATGAAGGTATGTACCTAACTGGTCCTTGGTACTTTATCCCTTTTTACCCAGAGTGGTGGGCTGAGTATAAGAGGTTGTGTCGTATGTGCAGAACATCGGTAACCGTCTTGCCAATGGAGGAGGGTCCAAGGACGCTGGAGAACCTCTTCTCAACGGACACGTTCATATTACTGAAAACCCTAACGTAAGTTTTTTGTTAAAGGATCTTGTAATTTTATGATTAAGGTTTGAGTTCTATTCGTATAGAATACCAGTTACTGTTACTTAGTATTGATTTGAGAGTACAATTTCCTATTGAATTGGATGATTTAATACATGGTGATACTGGAATATTACTCTTACCTAGATCATTGTAATAATAATAATTAATAGTGTTGAGCATCGGACCCTTTTTAATTCGCTATAAAATTATCCCGTAAATTGCATGAAGAGAATAGCAAAGACATTTTTTCGTAAAACAATTATAGAAAAATGTAAGTATAAAAATGTATTTGACCTGTAATTATCGTTAACAGCAGTCCAAGACGCCGAACGGTCGCATGCGCAAGGGCCGTCGCTACGAGGCTGCGTTCGACGTAGCTCGCTACGAGGACCCTGACACTACCCTGGAGACAGTCCTCGACCCTGACACTTCCGCCTCCACCACCTTCAACCTCCTCGACACCTCCCGCAGGCCAGAGTACGAGGTCTCGAGGTCCTCCAGGGACCTCAGCGCTAACAATTCCTTCAACAAACTTCCTGACGACAACATGAACTCCGAACTCACGCGAAGCACCGACTTCCAACTAGACAACAGCAAAATTCTACCCACGCTCCAACCTAACGGTTGAGAACCCCCCATCCCCCCGATAAGCAAGAACTACACTAGGGGTAGGCGGCCCCTGAGATCTGGTATCCGTCGATACCGATTTCTCGCGTCAATTCGAATGGTGTGCTATTTATAAGTCAAGGATTGAGATTGTGTACAGACAAACATGTTTTTTTACTAGTTGCTCGTTAGACACAGTAAAATGGATATACGACTAAAATAAGGAAGGGTAATACTTAAAGTTTTTAATAGATAATAATGAGGCTTAAAATAGTCCGAATGATACGGGTTCGCGCGAGGATAGCTTATCGTGTTTCGTTCCTAACGTTAGAATTTATTTTTAATGATTGTAAGGCTGATATTTTTTTGGTAAACAATAGTACGGGTAAATAATTTAAGTGTTAAAAATGGATTCAGGTCGGAAGTAACTGTTGTTCAATAGCACGTCGAGTTATTCTCGCCTAATCTGTTCGCAACTTCGCCGTAGTGAAGGTTCACCGTCTAATAATTGTTACTATGTATATTATTATAATATATAACGTTTTTATTGCCGATTTTACGGCAACACGCACTTGTAAATAGCGTTGTTCGTTTACGGCCTGAGATTAAATGCGCCCGACAATAATGTAGGAATGGCGCGTTCGCACGTGACCGTAGTCAGCGCGGCGCCCCTCCCGCCGCGTCACCTTGCGTCATGTCACAAGCAGTGCCTCGTCAAGTACACACTGGTTCATAAGTCATACAAATAGATTCACCGTTAGTGCAACATAATCGTACAAAATATAGACCAAATTAATTCCAAACACATTGAAATTCGCGTGTACATAACATAGAACAAAAATATTTATCCATGTTGAAAATATGATAATTACTTTACATAAACTATTAAATGTTTCTTATTTTCTGATTATCATTTCACACAGTAAATAAACAAAGCCTCAGATGCTAGTATTCTTCACAATTTACATTCCAGACTTTGTTTTAAATATATATATTTTGTCACATAATAACAATAATAGATATCGTAAATACAAATGCACATTTTTATATGTATATTCACTGTTATAGTTTCTGTTAGCAGTTTTATATTTCACAAAAATCTAGATACCTACTTAAACCTAAGAAAACAAGTAGATAGATTAAAAAGTAATTGTAATATATAAAGTATATATATATATATATATATAATGATAAAGTAATAATATATTACAACGAACTATGAATATTATGAAATGAAAATAGTTTATTAAAAGCACGCGTTATCGTTATAAAAGTTACTAAAAAAAGTTATTGCACATTTCCCCCCTCTTACTTTTTTTGAATCTGGAACATGTTTAGCTTACGTTATGCCATGATGAGGTCATGCCACAGATTTACTTAAACAACAAAAAAAACTTATTGACTGCAATTATTGCAGTTAGATACAATATTAAAACTTAGATTTTGAAATTTCTGATTTTTGTTCACGATTTCAAATTCAATCTATTAGAGAGTCTTTAATTCTGGATTTCATATTGCGAAAACCCGCCTAATTAGCACAACCACAATACATTTTTTTTAGAGAATATTATAATAAAATTAAAGTGCCTATTATTAGCGGTATATCCAGCAATATTTAATTAGCTTTGCACTTTTTTAAACATTATATATTGAAAAAAAAAAACAATGAAAAAGACTGACGTGGCCAAATGTTGTAGTGACGTAAGCTGAGCGTGTTCTGCCACGGCTGACATGTTTGCGCAAATGTCAAACTATGTTCGCCAAGCATTATTCCATATCACAATTTGTATCTACCTCATTTTATTCGTTTTAAGATTATTTTAGATGTTAATGGAAAATTTTTAATGTTGAAGATCGATTAAGTTTTCTTCGATAACCCATCGATGAGGTTGAATGGCACTTACTGCATAGTTTTAGTGGTGTTTTTTTTTTATTTATTTATTATTAGGACCGTAAGTATTTCACTGATAATTTGTAATGTATTTTTTTCTTCAGTTTTTTTTTAGTTTTTTAGTTAAGGTAGTGTTAGTGGACTTGTTGTTGGTCGATGTTACGCTGTTTGTCTTTTTATTGAATTAATTAGTTTTTTAAATTTCGCATTGGTATTGAGATCCCATATTCGAATAGTTAATATTCATAGTGATTTTATTGTATGACGATACATTCGGTTGCAATAGTAACAGAAGTTGGCATAGGCAGAAGTTCAAATTTGTAAGTTTTAAGATGAACTAAATAAGTCTAGTTATAATATAATGCCGACCAACAATTAGTTATTAGAAAACTTACGGCAGTACCTTTGCTAGCACATTTTTGGTTTCTATCTGTGTACAAAAATCTTGACTGATTTTTTTATCGCACTAAAATCAGGCCCCTATCTTCGAGTATAAAGTATATATTTAGTACCTATTTATATTTCTTGAGTAAAAAGCACCTAGGTACAATTTATTATACGGTAAGGATTGGCGTACACGGCGTGTATTAAGTCAAAAAATAAAAATAAAACAAATTAAATTTGAAAATTTTCACGAAAATTGTAAGTATAAATGTTTTCTCCTTTAATAATTAATAAATAATAATTGATAAAATAATATTTGAATTAGGGCATTTTTACGTCGAAATAAATTTATTTTTTGGCTTATTACGGCACCAGGTCGCCATTGTAAATAATAATATAAAATATATAAAAAAAACTCAGTTTAAAATTAAATTGAAAAGGAAAAACGCCGACTATGTACCTGAAAAAATTCAATTACACTAAGTTAGCTAGACTTAGGTGTAGTTTTAGATCTTTAAAGAAATCTAGAATTTTATCTTTGACGCTAGGTTTTGTCACAGGGTCTAAGCTTCGATTCTGAATAGTTTCAAAGGAGTATGCGCTACCTTTTCGGTTTTAGCAGAAAATTATTGCATTTTTTTCAACGTATTTTCTTGGGCTCGTCGTAGTGCGCTGGTTTTGTTTTTCTAATGTTATTACAAACTGTTTATTATTTTTGTTTCCTCCCAGTATTGTTACAAAGCGTGTCTGAATTTCGCTGTTGTCTTTTAATACATAGTACCATTACACAAACAGAACTGTTCAGAAGTACCTAAAGCAGTGTTAAGGACCACTTAGAGCCAAAAATGTATAAAAACACAGTTTATTTAATCGCCTATTTCCTCTATAAATAAGTAAGTTGTATAAAAAGATGATAAAGTTACATTTAAAATACAAATGCTTCGGTGACTATTTTTAATAAAATAAAAAAAATAACGATTGAATGTTTTCTATGATAAAATAATATTAATAATAAATTAATGACTTCTATATAACTATAACACCAAACATATTTTTCTTAAAAATTTGAAATAACTTGAGAAGTAATAGTTACTGTTTGGTAAGGAGAAATTTTTTATGATGAATAACAATTTTTGTATGGGAATAAGCGTTGCATTTTTAAGAATTATAGATTATAAACTGTGAAATAGTATTTGCTACCTACTCTTAAATGGAAATAATAATATGAATATAAAATCAAATGGATTTTATACAAGAAAATAGGTTAACTTTGAATGTTCAAAAATACCGTAGTTTTTATGAATAAGAATTATAATTTCTACCATAGGATTACCGCGTAGTTAACAAGTAAATGTAACTTATTTTTTATTTTATTTTTTTATTCAATTATTACGGATTATTCAAGTTCACTCGTGGTTGTGTTAAGTAATAATTTGGCCACTGTAACTGTATTACTAAAAACTGTTGGATTATTATAATTTTTCTATTAATAATATAATTATTATTGATAATTATTGTATTGTGAAACCAAAACAATTTATTCGTCAACGCAATAACAGATACCTGAATGATGTACAATGATTTTTTGTAATTTATTTATAAAACAGTAGTGCATGCATTTATAATAACGTTGTGAACTTATTTTTTTGGTCTATTTATGGGTTAAATGGTAAACTTACGGTTTTAACAATTAATTTATGAACTGTAAACAATTGAGAGTTATTTATTATCTACCTTGAAAGTTATCGTAGACTCAGAATTGTTTTGTTTGGAAAAAATATTCTTTTAACGCACAACTATCTTAATTTTCTATATTTGCTAGTGAATAGACCAGAAAAATAAAAACGTTGAATAGAATTAAGGTAAACTACAATAGTTGTTCCCATATTACGCTGATATTGATTTTAATGTTGTTTCTATACAGTTTTTTTAAACGTTTTTTACATTGGCTTGTCCGTCCTTGGAGTGAAAAAAATAAATAAGAAAATAATAATTAAAAGCCTGATGTTGTGCCTCTGATGATAATTTTGAATCTCATTTCGCAATATATTAATTGTAAACTGTATTGCGGGGATGGTATTACATAAAGACATTTTAAAAATTTCGAAAAAACTGAACGCAAAATTATATTCTTTTTTTTTGTATTGACATTTTCATGTGTTGAAAATAGAACAGGTTTCCTACATGATTTTGTCAAATAAAACTAAATGTAAAAAAAGGTTGTTTTAGCGTAAAAAATGGAAGTTAAATTAATAACCATCCCCAACCAATTATGGTTTTCATTTTCATTATTCCATAGGCAGTGTTCATATTTTCCACATGTTTTTCTTTATCAAAGCGGGTATTCCATTCCACTATATTTATTACATTACAATATACACATATACATTATTTTTATAAACGCACATTCCATATCGACTGCAATAGTACCATACCTACCAAACAGATTTTTTACATTGTAAATATGGTTTTTTCTTGTTTTTTTATAATTATTATTTTATTTTTTAACTATATACAAATGTAAGGTTACATTTTTACCTTTAGGCGACTTTGCAAACTACAATATGTATTGTGTAGCTGACCAATTTGTTACAAACTAATAATAATAGTACTCAGTAATAAGCAATAATGTTATTTAATTAGCCACGTTGTTCCATCACTGTATTTTTTTACAATCTGTTGTTTTGTGTCAATACTTTTTATATGATATCCCGCCTGCAACATTTGTTTTATTTTGAAGTTTATATTGCAATAAAATTTTGAATTTGATCGACTTAAACAGTACATCGGATAAATATGTTATTGTTTTTTTTATTAAAATCAGTGATATGATTTGTTTTGGATAAAATAACAGATAATTAAAAAAAACTCAAATGTTACTGGCGAGCGGTATTGTATAAAAATCTGGTGAAAAAACGGTGAATTGCCAATACTTTCTGTTATTTTTCAAGACACTTTTTAACATTTAACAAATTTTTGGTGTGTTTTTGTTTGCACCACCATTCTATTCAAATACCTTGCAATTATACTAAAGAGAAATTATGCAATTTACTCCGAAAAAACAGTGTAGAAAAATCAACTAGCAAGGTATTGGTACTTCACCGTCGAAATATTACAGATTTGAGAAAATAAACGTGATACACCTAAAATATTTAAGCAATAGAATAGTTAAAAATTGTTGTATAAACATATATACCTGTTGAATTGTGTCTGTTCAAAATTATTTAAAGTTTTACAGTCCAAGCGCAATTTCGATTTTTTTTTTAAATATTTTGAAATACCTAGACTCACTGCCTATAGTTGTGGCGTTGATTTTGTAGCATGTACTTAGTGAAACGCGTCCAAAATATATATTATTATAAAACAAAATATAATTTTTAACATAGATCGATAACTAACACGAGTTTGTTTAAGTTTTTTGTGAGTTTAGGCTTGAGTTTTTTGTTTTCTGCATTCAAATCTCATGTTATTGGTTTTTTTGCGACGATTTAAAAAGGAATTTACTATACTGTTGATGTGGTTTAAAAAACCTTTATTCTCTTCTACTTTTTTAATGTTAAATGTCAGGGGACCAACCTCTGTAGTATTTTAATTAAAAGTTAACATTTAGTCATTTCGCAACTCGATTTTTTAATACCTACCTATAGACGACTTTGTTCTTTTTTGCAAAATTTTAAAAAAAGAATGATTTGTTGTTGCTTTTTCTTTTACACTTTTAGCGAGAAACATTGTTTTATGAATTACGGTGTTATCTTGCTAATGAAATATTTTTTTTTTAATTAAAGAACTTACCTAAACATTTTAACATCCAATAATTTTATTAAGTTTCATTGTTACTACCAAGTTCCATTATCTATCTATGTAATAATGATTGATTTAATTTATATATGATTACGAATTTATGAAATTCTAAAATATTGTATTTTTTGTGTAAATAATTTGATTAAGCGTGTTTCATTGGCAAGAGAAGGGCAGTAGTTTTGTAAATTCGTTGCAAAGCACCAATAGCATTATCTACAGGAGATAATTTAAGGAGTTGTTGTATATTAATATTATACAAATTAAAAAATTTAAAGACCATTGTGGTGGCTCA